TATCTAGGCTCAGGTAAAAAATTTTGTACACAAACCCAACTGACATATTTCATGCGTTGCCAATTATTTTCAAACGTGATCCGTATCGTTTCAGCAAAGATGATCCAGATCATTGAGCGGATCATGTTTGCTGAAACGCAGGTATTGTTGGTATCGTCTTGTTACCACTTAGCGATTTGCTACGTACACGGGTAGACTCATGTAGTAATTTATCTACAAACGTATGTACAAATAGCAGTAATAATTATTATTGGTTAGCGTCTCTTTCGCTTATATTGTATTAAAAAGAAATTACTGTGTTAATAAATTAAATATTAAATTAATATTTAAATATTAAATATTAATAATATAAGTTTTCATTTTACTTAAGAATTTTTCAATCAATATTTTAATCGTCCTTTCGCGTATTTATTTATTTTATTTATTTAGCATAAATTTGTTATTCAACTACACAATTACACAATTATTGAAATTTGCGACTTGTAATTTGTTTAGTTATTCTAAGTTTTTCCATTTGCAACACTTTTCTTGTAAATTTATTTTGAGCTTTTGAGCTTTATTTGCTGTCTCTATCAGCTATTTTCAAGTGTATGTAATTTAGAGAAAAGTAAATAAATTTTTTTTTACAAAAAGAAATAAGTAAATAATATTTTACTTTTATCGGGCACTATTATTTTTTCTTTTTTAATCTTGTTTAAGAATCACTGTCTCGATTATTTGAAATGAGTTTAATATCACTTTTTTAGTGTTTCACTTAGAAAACGCCGAAGGTAGCGAAGTGATTTTTTTTTTGCACGCCAAGTACTTGCATGGCAAACTAATACGAACTAATACCAATCAATCAATATTTGACGAATATTGATTCATATTCGTCAAATGACTTAAAATCAATCCTCAAACGTAACTTAAATCCATCACTTATAAATGGAAGAGATAATGGGTAAAATTCAGGAGCTCTACCCCACAGACTTGAGTAACAAGTTAGCAAAGATAAAAAATATTATAAAACAATGCAGGATATGTTAAAAGTACAAATACGATAGACACCCTAAAAAGCCTGAAATACAATCCACCCCTATACCAACATTTATATTGCAGAAAGAAATTTAGTTTTAACAGCTATTGACAAATATTCAAAATATGTTCAGGCCAGATTAGTAAAACCTAGAGCAGTAGAAGATATTAGAGAACCACTTAGACAATTATTCTTCATCTTCGGAATTCTTAGACAGTAGTAATTAACAACTCGAAAACCCTAAATTCAAAAACAATTATGTTTTTATTAAAAGACCAATTAAGAATTAAAGTTTTCATAAACCCTGAGCAATATGAATTAGCAAAGCAGGGTGACATACAAAGACTTACTGAAAAACAAAGAAAAGACGTCAATTATTATAATAAAAGAAGAACACCACCTATAGCCTATGTACCGGGGCAAATTATTTACGTTATGATTAATAAAAGATACGGCATCAAATTAACCCCGCGCTTTAAAAAAGAAATAGTCAAAGAAAACAAAAGTAGACCAATAATCACGGAAACCGAAAAAACAGTCCATAAAAGTAATATCAAAAATTATTATTCTTTTTTAAGAAATTTAAGATCGATATAGAAAACAATTATTGGCAAAAATTTTTACATAAATTGTTTAAGAAAAAACTTTTTTCTCAAATTTTAGAAAAATTATCGACAATATGGAAAAGTTGTATTAAAATAAACTTATATTGATTATATTAAATTAAATTAATTAAATTATTATTAAATTTCCCAAATGCATGTGCATAGCACACCTGCTAAAAATGGAAACAATAGGCATTTTCTTTTGTAAGCATGTCACAAAAGAACAAATAAAATAAGCACTACTTTCGATGACAACTCTGGAAAAACTGGAAATTTTGTTTGTATTTGTAAAACACATAATAAAATTTAAATTGAAAATTAACAAAATGAATAATTCTTTGCAATTATTGGTAAGAAAATTTCATTTTTTAAATGATTGTGAATAAAATTTGTTTTTTTCAGGCTTTTTCTATGTTAACAGAAAAATAACAAAAAATTTTTGAATATTAGTTGTGGTGAACCTGGATCCTTGCACGACTTTAGAGTTTTTAGAAGATCTGATATATACCGACGTGCACAGTTAAATCAGATTGAACTATTTTCTATTTTCATTTATTATTGGAGATACTGCTTATCCGTGTTTAAACTGGCTTCTGCCCCCATTCAAAGCCTATGGAAACTTAGATGAAAACCAAAAAAAATTTAACGAAAAGCATTCCTCTACACGAATGGTAGTAGAAAATGCTTTTGGTCTGCTAAAAAGTCGCTTTCGCAGACTATCAAAGTTTACAGAACAAAGTAATTTGGCTGCAATCACGAACATCGTAGCCAGTGTATGTGTTCTGCACAACATTTGTATAAGTAAGGATGATTTTTGCGAAAACAATGACGAACACAATATTGTGGAAGAAATGGCAGATCAACCAGAATTTTTTGATACTTTAGAGTTGGATGACTCAATTGATTTAAGTCAAAACCTATTTAATTACTTGTCAAGAGAAAATATTATTTAGATTTAAAAGTAAACATTAAAAATAAAATACAAACAACAAAATATAGAAAGAAATTGTGTTTATTGAAATTATAAAAAAAATAAATAAATAAAATAATAAACTAAACTAATTATGGGTTTAATGACTTCACAACAGCCTCCAACAGCGACAATTTTTTGCGCTCTATTTCTTGATCAACCCAATTGTTTCTGCTCCACCGTTTTCGTGATGTTACAATATGACTATAAATATGTATATAATTAGAAAAATAGAGTTCCTTAATATTTTTATTTTTAAGTTCTACAATTAGTTACGTTTCACTCATTTTTAAACAGCAAAATAAATTTATTACAATATGTTATATTAAATAACTGCAGTTGGCAGTTGATAATTAAACAGAATTGTATATTATTATTTTTCAAACACAGTTAACAGCTGGCCGTGAACTGGAAATTTCATATGTACTTCCAAAAATCGTTCACAATAGACGAGTTTTTAGTCATGGCAACCATGCAATTTGAGCTGCTTATTAGTTAAGCGGTTTCAAAAAGGTTGGACTAAATAAGCTAGCAGTATTGTTGTTTCATATGTTATTTTTAAAACAAGCGGTTGTTCTTTTGTGATATGCTTACAAAAGAAAACGCCTAATATTAATTTAAAATTAATTCTTAATAGAAAAGAGAAATTGTGCTTAAAGAAATTAATATTGATTCTATTATAGCTAAATTATAAAGTTATATTATATTAAATTATGCATGTGCATAGCACTCCCGCTAAAAATGGAAATAAATATTGTATTAAAATAAATTGTTAAAAGAAAAGAGAAATTGTATTTGAAGAAATTTGTATTGATTCTATTATAGCTAAATTAAAAAGTTGTATTAAATTAAATTAATTAAGTTATTAAGCATTCCAAATACTTGTGCACAGCACACCTGCTAAAAATGAAAATATCTCAATTGTAAAATTATGTTGAACTAACAAATACATAAATAACTGTAAATAAATCAAATTTCTATTAAATATTATATAATATTTATGCTATATAAAATAAAGCATAAAAATTATGCTTTATTATCATGTTTTTGTGGGTCCTGCACTTCGTCACAGAAAATCACATCATCTTAACACATCATCATCACAATACATCTTAATAATCTTAAATCATATCTTAAATGTGTGCTAGCAAACTAAAATCGTTTTTTGATCAGATAACAACGGTGTGTTACGTGCAACTTTCGAAGAATAAATGTTTTGGAATAGCACTTTTCTTATTGCATCGTGACTGACAACAATATTAAATTGCTTCTCCAGATCTAATGCCAATGATCGTAAGGAAATTCAAGAATTTTTATCAATTATTCGCAATACTCTTCTTATATGGCGATCAGACAATGTTTTAATATGGTGGCCTGCTGATTTTAAACTAATGCAATCCTCATATTCTGCTCTGTTTATGATATCATAAATTGTTCTTAACCTTATATTAAACATTAGACTTTATTCCTTATCAGATTTACCGAGGTTGTAATTATAACATACTAACTTAATATTATTTGAATTTGTTCTTTTACCTGTCATATTTAATCACGTGCGTTCTAGTTATTCCTTCATTTAAAGCACTCTACTTTATTAAATAACAAAGAAACTGAACAGTTTTTGCTGAATATCATAACAAACAAAAAACCCAGACACATCTAACGGTATTCTGTCCGTTAAAAATAAGAAATTGCAAAATTTTTATTGTGCATGGAATAAACATTTGTAATATTTTTTCGTTTTGCAAACACAATGTTGACAAACTGTATGTTGTAAAAATATTATCAATGATATTTATAACCCTTGATTAAACGGTTGTAACTCCATTGATTGGGACGCTCAAGTTTTAAGGGCGGAGGAGTTAATGAACATTTATTTTAGTGATCATTATAAAATTGATCAATTGTATCAAAACAATATCCCGTAAGAAATATTTGTTTTGTTATAATTTTATCAAAACAAGTTACCGTTTTTCAATTTTTGCAAAACAATATCCCGTAATGGATATTGTTTGAGGGTTATATTTATTGTAAATTCAATTTGAAGTTTAAGTTTTCAGTACGACGTACAAGATTATGAAAAATATTATTGTAATAAATAAATTAATTTGTACAAATGAAATATACAAGCATAAACAAAATTTAAATGCTTTGTTTTTAAATAACTACAGTCAATCAGTTTAAGTCGTATTTATGTTCAAAGTTTGAAGCTTTGAGAAAGCAATAAAAAGATTTATAAAAAATTGTAAAGAGCATGAGCTGTTGCCATACAATAAGTCGATATAACCAGCTTCCATAATTTCGAACAATGTAGCATTAATAAAGCTTTAAAAATAATTGTTTTTTCATTAAAAAAAAGTTGTAAAAGCTTTTAAATTTAAGCTTGATCGAGTAAAACATGGTTAAGTGATGTTGTCAGTTTAGTTATCGCAAGATTACTGGCGAATTCGAAAGGTTTTGATTTGATTGGAGGAATCGTATGTTAAGCAAAAAATTTCTGCTATAAAACCAGAGTTATAAAATGTCCGCGTAAGTGTGTAAAACCTCGACTACATTTTAGAATGTCATATGTTGCACAGATATTTGTCGTTTTAAAAGATTTCAGATATAAAGAAAAATTCCTATATAAACTATATTTTAGAAAAGCAGATATCGCACTTATTGGCCTTGCCGTGATGGGACAAAATTTAATACTTAACATGGACTCTAAGGGTTTCGTTGTCTGTGCATACAATCGTACCCTTGAAAAGGTTTTAAAATTCACTTATAACTATTTTTAATTTATTAATATAAAACTGTGCAGGTGATACACTTTCTTAATAATGAAGCGAAAGGCACCAAAGTAATCGGGGCCACATCACTAGAGGATATGGTCAATAAATTAAAAACACCTAGAAAAGTAATGCTCTTAGTCAAGGGTAAGTCAAAGTAATGACATTGCACATCAGCTTACTTCAGTGTAATGAAAAATGCTGCGTCACGCGAATGCATAATAAAACTATATTTCAAATATTTTGAATAAATAATAAAGCACTGAAAATAATTGATAAAAATGCAATTCATATGCCCTTGAAATGTTTTATATATTTGATAATCTAACACTACTATTACATTTTATTAAATTAAAACAAAAAACATCTTTGCAATCATGAAAAACATATTTATTATAGTAAGATTAGACCTTTTCATTTTAATCAAGAAATGCAGGCTGAGCAAGTGAATTAATTTTAGAATGAAATATAAGTACAAAATAAGAACTTCGGATATTTTTTATTCAATATTTTATTTTATTTTAATCGGATAATTGCACAAAATATTTATAGGTATAAAACTTTAACTCTAATCATACATTGACTGTAGCTCTTATATATATATATATAATAAACACATTTATTGATAAATTTGCTATCTATTCATAGCCGGCAAAGCTGTCGATACTTTTATAGAACATTTAGTACCACTTCTGTCATCAGGTGATATCATAATTGATGGTGGCAATTCAGAATACCAAGATACTTCTCGACGCTGTGAAGAATTGCGTGTCAAAGGTTTGCTATTTGTCGGTTCTGGTGTGAGCGGGGGGGAGGATGGAGCTCGTTACGGTCCCTCACTTATGCCAGGTGGTCACTCAGATGCATGGCCACTGATTCAACCAATATTTCAAACTATTTGTGCAAAAGTCGATAATGATCCTTGCTGTGAATGGGTTGGTGAAGGTGGTGCTGGTCATTTTGTTAAAATGGTACATAACGGAATCGAATATGGCGATATGCAACTTATAAGTGAGGCTTATCATATTCTGAAAAGTCTTGGTTTATCCGAAACGGAAATGGCTCAACAATTTGATAAATGGAATAGCGAAGAGTTAGATTCATTTTTAATTGAAATTACGCGTGATATATTAATGTTCAAAGACCATAAGGGCTATTTATTGAATCGCATACGTGACGTTGCAGGCCAAAAAGGCACAGGAAAGTGGACGGCAATAGCTGCACTTCAATATGGTGTCCCTGTCACACTTATTGGTGAAGCAGTATTTTCCCGTTATTTATCATCCCTTAAAAATGAGCGCGTACATGCTTCCAAACAACTTAAAGGACCTGGTTTTAAACCAAAAGTTGACGATTTAAAAATGTTTTTAAATCACATTAAGCAAGCTTTGTATTGTGCTAAGATAGTTTCGTATGCACAGGGATTTATGCTTATGCGCGAGGCGGCTAAGGAAAACAAATGGAACTTAAATTATGGTGGAATTGCTCTGATGTGGCGCGGTGGTTGTATTATTAGAAGGTATTGTAAATAACAATTTCTTTAAACATTAAACAGTAACATTTTTTTGCAGTGTGTTTTTGGGAAACATTAAAGATGCATATACTCGTAATCAACATTTGCCGAACTTACTGCTAGACAATTTTTTTAAAAAGGCTATCGAATTCGGTCAACATTCATGGCGCCAAGTTGTATCTAATGCCTTTCTTTGGGGTATACCCGTTCCCGCCTTGTCTACAGCGCTTTCATTTTATGACGGTTTCCGCACTGAAAAGTTGCCAGCTAATTTATTACAGGCTCAGCGCGACTATTTCGGTGCACATACATACGAATTGGAAGGGCAGGAGGGACGCTTTATACATTCAAATTGGACTGGCACTGGTGGGAAGGTGTCAGCCAGTACGTATCAGGCATAATTTGCCAAAAAAAAGTTGCATATAATGATTAATATAAATATTTTCGTAATTCAGAGTTAAAAATTTAACACGAAATTAATATATTAATAAATCTTTAACATATACAATATATAATTATACATTTCTATTAAATATTTTAAGCACAACAATTTATTATTAGTATAGTAATACATTGCAATATAATATTGCAGTTTCATAAACAAAGCAGCAGGTATCTGTTGAATTTTGTCATTCTTTCATTAGTCATATGTGCTATGCGGACTTTTTTGATTGTTCGATAACAAGTTTATCCACGTTATACAGGTGTCCAATAATAGCCTAAAATATAAATAAACAATATTTTTAGTTAAAAGCAGTAGCAAAAATAGTAAAGCAGTTCTTAAATAGTTACGATAAATTTTATCCATTGAAAATTTTATGGGTGATTGACGGAAAGTATTGTTATAAACGCATTTCATAAATACCTACTGTTGCTTTAAAAATCAAATAATATTATTAAAGCAATTAGAACTATCTCAAAAACATAGTCAAATAGAATTAGGTATTATTGAACGCGCTTACAAAGCATTTTAACTTTGCTCAATATTTAGTAATACCGGCTATTTGACTAATAACTGTTTAATATGCATATGAATCATTTGGTATAATAGATTTCTTCTCACCTGCCGACGAATAATTTCCAAATTGTGTTCAGCTAGCTGGAGTTGTCTACTAATTTCTTCAAAATCGATTGTCCTATTTGTTCGGAATGTGTCTCGTATTTTCCGAATAGCATACATACTTTACAAAATATGAAAAATTTATACAGCAATTATGTAGTTATTAACAACATTTACCGAAAATTGTAAGGTCCCAGTTTTCCAGATTCTCGCAACATTTTGCGATATAAAGATATAACTTGTCTCCGCATAGACATATTTAATTACATATAGTATTTAATTTAGTTTTAATGTCTATTTTATAATGTGCGTGAAAATAGCGTCTATGAAAAATCCAAAATGGAATTGGAACATTTTTCGCCGCATGAAAAATGCAGTATTCTTTAAATAAAAATTTATTATATTAATAAAATTAATGCGGCAAGAGGTAAACAACATTTTTGAGGCTCAGTTAGACGGTTGGTAACGTAAGAAACTAGTTCAAAGCAAAATGCACAACCAACCAAACCTTCATATATGACAGGAACGAAATAACAAGCCAGTAGTCCCTGCCGTAAGCACGGAAAACGTATGCCTGACATCATGTTTACAAAAGAAGGTGAGAAGTCATCATACTAAAAGAATGTACTGGTAATGTATCATGTCATGCGGCTAGCGAAAAAAAAACCTTTACTCTTCGCAAAATTAACCGAACGACAAATAAATGTCGTTTTTGCATTTAATTATGCATTTAAGGCAATAACAGCCTTATAATCTACTGACTTCGTAAGCTACAGAAGAAGGTAACCACCTTCTTTTAGAAGCAGGTCGTAAGGCAGAAAATGATCACCCTCATATTTTGCGTGCACAAGAATCGCTCATGACGATTTAGTTTACGTTGTCATGCTTACCACATGCTTCTATTGTAAAGTGCATTTAAAATCGTAAACGAAGTTTTACGAATGTCAATTCTGCATTGCATGCCGCACACCTTGTGCACTTTACCAAATCATGCATGTCTTCGGCGGACAACTGCTAATAAAAGTTATAGGAATTTTGAAAGGAACTCGTCATGATGACCAGGTGAAAAGTAAGCATGATGTAAGGGAAGGTAGCAGCATGACGGTTTATAAAAAAAATAAAAAATTAATTTTTTTGTTTTTAATTTATTAGGAAAATAAATAAAAATGACAAAATTGAGGTATTATTAATATATTATATATTTAATAAATTATATATAAATTTAATTTAAAAAAAATAACAAAAATTAATAAATATATAATGTTTCAAAAATGTTTTTCATTATAATTTATATATAAAGCACAATTGAAAAAAAAAAGAAAATGGAATGAAAAATAATAACTAATAACTTAAATTAAAACATAAATAAATAATAATAATTATTATTAAAATAATAAATAAACTGGAAACAGCAACTGAACTGCAGACTGAAACAGAGATATAATAAATAAAGTATATAAAGTTTCCTTTTTTAATTTAATTTTTAACTTACACTAGAATGCCGAATTGAAAACCGAACGAAAAATAATAATATTAATATATTATTTTAACAAATTTAACAATAATTGACAAAATTCACAATAGCAATGCGCAACGAAAAACTAGACGGCCCGAGTTACAATTACTCAGAAGGCCGCCACATAAGATGATAGCACGTAAATTAACGATATAAATTATTTATTGTAAAAACATTTATTGTACTTGCTTTTATTTTTCTTTCATATATAAAATGCTTAGTCTGTGATTATTGTCACTTATTGTTATTCATAAATTCCTTTATCGGATTTTCTTTTTACTCTTATTACAAAATCACTTATTATTTTGTATAAAAAATATCTAGTATCATATTGTATTTTTATTTGTAAATCAACATACTCAAATTACCACATAAGTCACACTTATTCGACCTTAAAATAAAAAGGCTGCACATAAGCAAAACAATGTTACAAAATATCCGTTTATAATAAAAAAATACAAGTGGTAGAAATTTCAAAAGTAACCTACTTACGAAATTTCTACAACAACAATACATTGCATTCCTGAATAATGTTTAAGAAATGCAACGGATGTTCAAGTGGAATTTTGTTTATGTGCAATAATTTATTTTTGGGTCACAATATTAATTATTATTGAATATTTTCTAAATTTTGAATATATAAAAATTGTAATGAAGAAAATTCAGTCAGAATAAATTTGCCTTTGAAAGTATACACAACGTACCGTGTTTTACTTAATTTCCCTACACTGGGTTAGGACCGATCCTTAACTGGCGTAGTCGATGCGGAACGGAATAAAGTGTTTAAAAAACAAATGAAATCGTACGAATAAATTCATACTGTATCGAACAGTAGCTATAACGGTTTTTCGTTCGCTTATATTCAAAAACCTCTGTTAGTGGACAAACGGACGCTTTGGGTATTAACCAGAGTTCGGAATGTGGTGCACAAAATCGCACACTGCACTGTGCGAGTGGAAATTATTTTTAAAATATGCACACGCACATTTGTGGTGTTAAGAAAAAAAATGCACGCGCTCAAATTTGTTGCGTGGTTTCAAATTTCACATCGCACAAAGCGATGATTGTGCACACAGATTCGTGCACACACATTTGTGCTGTGCGACTGACTTATAAAAATGTACACAATCAGATGTGTGAGAAAATTTTATGCTCGTACCGCACTGTGCGACAAAAAATTCTCAGTGCACACGAGTGTGCTGTTCATATTTTTTTTTTTTTTGGTATCGGACCTGGGGAAAAAATCATCAAAAGATACAAATGGCCCGTACCATTTGCATGCCCGATTCATGCACGACTCAAATTGAGTCATACATGCCTACGGACTAAAAAGTCCTCTACATTCTCAACTCAAAATCATGAAAATCCCTGCAGTATGACCAGTTAATGTATTCCTTCACAGGGCAGGTTAGAAGAGCACTTAGCGTGCATTCACTCCGATTGTGTACTAAGTATTTCATCCGCTTTAACAGTATTTATTGTTCTAGAGATTGTGCTCTTGTAAAAGCTCCATTCTTCGATGCTTCCCAACATCTGCATTACCATAGTAGAAGGGCTGGATTCCCCAATTAGTGTCTCTAGATTTTGTCTAGTATCTACGAATCTTATACAGTCTCTAATTATGTGGTCAGGACTCTCAATTTTATCTGGACAAAACTGGCAGTACGGGTTACTTGCTAGCCTAAACCGGTAAAAGTATTCACGGAAGCAGCCATGCCCCGTAAGAAACTGTGTTAATTGAAATCCCAAGTCTCCAGATCCTCGGTTAATCCAAACTCTTATATTTGAAATTAACAAATGCGTCAATCTTGATTTTTTGGAATGGTCCCACCTATGTTGCCATTCATTAAGGTATTTGTCTCTTATATCTAGATAAGACTCTGACAGAGATTGCCCAGTTTCAGTCGTTCGTCGACGAGAGCGCTGGAAGAAACTGTCTCTGGCCAAGAACGCTTCAAGGTCTATTGGCATGCGTCCTACCAATACTCCCGCAGCATCGTCCGATACTGTACGGTAAGCACGGCAGATGCATAGGTTTGACAATCTATGTGCACTTTTCATTACACGTGAATATGACTTAATGGTTGTAGCATGTGCCCACACCGGAGCAGCATAAAGCATCACCGATTTAGAATCTGATGCTAAAAGAACTCTAGCGATGTCCTTGGGACCTCCTATGTTTGGCATTAATCGAGATAATGCGTTGCAGACACGTGATGCTTTATCTCCCGATTGTTTTAGGTGAGTTTTGAAACTCAACCTACTATCTAAGGCTACACCGAGATATGTAAGTTGGGGGCTAGATTGTATATCTACTCCACCCACTTTAATTGAGAGTTATTAAATTTTTTTTCTACTGCTGATTAATAGCACCTCAGTTTTATGCTCAGCAAGCTCTAATCCGCTGTATTGCAGCCACGATTTAGCTGCTGCAATAGTAGCGCTGCAATTCCTAGCCACTTCGTCTTGAGTTTTTGCAACCACTACTATTGCAATATCATGTGCATACCCAACTACGTGCACTCCGTCCGGCTTTTCAATTCGAAGGATACCATCGTACATGATATTCCATAGAATTGGCCCTAGAACTGATCCCTGGGGGACCCCTTCCGTAATCCTATATGTTTTGGCACCGGATTCTGTATCATATAAGAGTAATCTGTCTTTAAAATATGATGTAATAATTTTCAAAAGATGTTCTGGGAGTCTCATTTTCATCAGTGCATTTAAGATGCTACTCTACTCAGCAGTGTTGAAAGCATTTTTAACATCTAAGGCCACTACCGCGTAGTACTTTTTAGTACCACCTAGCCACCTTACGCCCTTAGTAGCTTCCTTTGCAATGTTGCATACATGTAGTACAGCATCAACAGTACATCGTTTAGGTCTAAAGTCAAATTGGTTATTTGATAGACTCTGACTTGCCTCTGTGAATTTTTCTAATCTAGAACTTATAATTCTTTCAAGGACCTTACCTGCAGTGTCTAGTAAGCATAAAGGTCTATAAGATTATGGCAGTTCTGGGGGCTTATTACCTTTAGGAATTAGCACCAATCTTTGCTTTTTCCAACACGAAGGGAAGATTCCTTCCTGTAGGCAGCTGTTGTAAACATCCGTAAATATAGAAGCTTATTTTTGTATTGCCTTTTTCAGTACAGTATTGGGGATTCCATCCAATCCAGGAGATTTATTGGGCTTAATTCTGGAAGAAGCGGCTATGACTTCAGAATTTGTAACCGGGGGTATCTCATTTAAATCGGTGTTTATCTGTATTAAGATTCTAAGTTCTCCCTTTTTTGGGAACAAATATTTCACGATATTCGCCATTATTTTAGGACATGAAGGTACCGAGCCTCTTAACCTCTTAAATTTACGCATTACTATTTTGTAGCGATCGCCCCAGACATTTTGGTCTACATCATTGATCAGAGTTTGAAAAGTTTGATTCTTACTCCTAATAATTGCCTTTTTAAGTTTAGATCAGCTCTCTCGGTATTTTTGTAGAAGCTTTTCCGCATCTACTCCAGATCTGTGACGTTGGAATTGCCTACGGGAGGCAAAGCATTGAGATCTTAGTAAAGCTATTTCTTCCGTCCACCAATAGTTTGATGGGCGCCCATTACTTCTGCCTTTTCTTGGCATTGATGCATCACAGACGTTGCATAATTCCTTCATAAGGTGATTTGATTTTTCAAAAGCATCCCCGTCTCCGAAACTCATGTTTTCGGTCATGAATTCCATTATCTCTGTGTCAAGATACTTAGTTTTCCAGCCTATTTGCTGTGCTTTTCTCTGCGATTTTTTCAAAA